ACATAGTGGGTTTCACGGCCATCTCCTCAACCTACTCAGCCTCGGAGCTGGTGCAAATCCTCAATGAGCTGTTCGCCAGGTTCGACCGACTCGCCGAGGTGAGCTTCTCATCAAAATCCTCCCTTATATTCTCCTCAACATTTTCAATCCCAAGACCAAAGTCCCCAGGGCACGAGGATCCCCTTACTTCCGGTAGAACTTCTCTCCGGAAGAAGCATCTTCTCGATATATGAGCGGGTATATATGGTGATCATGATGAGGTCGGAACTCTGAAGCCACCAGCTGTTCTTGAAATAGTTCGCTGACTTGCCCGTGCATTTTCTTGTCCGGGGCAATTATTTCCTGTCTATTTTCAAAGAATTCATCATCTCAATTGCGTGTGAATTCCTAACGAATCTTGCTGTAAAAATATCCTGGCAGGATTTTTTTTAGGACGATGTTAGAATTGAATACGCAGCAAGTCATCATAATAAGTGAGCTAACATTTTTTCTTCGAGTACCTCACATCCTTGAATGATATGTTAACCTTGATTTTGTTTACTTATGTCTGAGAAAAATATCCCTGCAGAAGATCAGCAACTCATTTCTCGTGGGCTTTAATTCGAAATTTTTAACAAAAAATACTTTTATATAGCTGATGATGTACTGCAACAAAAAGCACTGTAATAGGATTAGGGCTAAATGGAATTTATTTAACTCACTTATGACTTTCACCACTGATTTCATGATGCGTTTTTTCCCAAAATGTGTATGCCGACTAATTTTCTATCTTGAATTTCCAAAATAAATGTTCACGTGGTATTTGCAGTAAATTAGTAAGTACTTGACAAATCTTGTTACAGTGATCTTCTATCTATAGTGATCCAAAAAATAATGTATACGATTTTTAAAAATGAAAGTAAGATTAATTTCTTCAAATCAGAGTTTTTCCATGTCAACTCAACATAAATTACTTGAAAAAAAAACATTTTTTCCCGCAGAATGACATATTTCTCATACCAGAAATAACATGAGCAATTTAATGTCGTAATAAATTTGCGTATCAGCATAAATATCAGGAAACCCGACGAAAATTCTTGAAAAACGTAATCCGCTGCGATTAATCAAGAAATGTTGTCGGTGCTATACATGCATTAAGAACTTCGTCAATGGAATTTCAGCCGAAGGATCATTTAAAAATTCATTTTTATATAGCACAAAAAAATGTGTTATAACTAATGAAGGATTCAGTCCTGCATTTCGAAATTCAGTTTTCATGGAAGTATAATTTCCGTTTTTTTTAGCAAAAACAGCAGCGAACATATTTTTGTTGTTGATCGTCGACGATTTGATTGATGAACTTTATGAGAATGTGATCAATGCACTGTTCAAGAAAATATAAATTTTAGCAGCATCAGCAGGAAAGAATTTCAATACTTTTAATAATGTGAAGTGTCCTACTTCCTCACGGCTCTATAAATACGTCTCCAATACCCAGAGATGTCAATTGTTTGTTTTTTTCCAGATCAATGAAGAATATCTGCATTTTTTTAAATGGAGGGTTTTTTATTTCAGACGAATTCTAAGCGAAATAAGGGAGTCGGAGAATTTTCTCTAGGGGGTTATTTGGCCTTTAGGGATTCCTGTCACGCCTTATTTTCTCCCTTTTGTTGACGACCTGCATGAAAAAAAAAAAGTGCTGTCTTTTCAACAGGAATACCATCAACTGAGGATCAAGATCCTCGGGGACTGCTACTATTGCATCAGTGGAGCGCCTGAGGAAAGAGAGGATCATGCAATTCTCTCTGTCCACATGGGATTATCAATGGTGGAGGCCATAAAGTATGCATTTTCTTTTTTAAATGTCCAACGCAAAAAAATCCCGCCAATAAATGCCTTCTGTCATGTGCCGTCATTTTTTGAACAGTTTATGCTCGTGTAATAATGTCATTTTTTCCCCGTGATCGTCCATCATTTCGAGTCACGCGGGGAATTATATGGGCTTGCCATAAAAGTTTGCTTGGACAAACAGCGAGAAAATGGTTCTGCAAAGATTGACCATTTGTTTGATGTCTCCTTGGATTGATGACGAAGAAACGTGGTTTGGAATTACAAGAGTGTGTGATATAGGTTCATTATTCAAGCCTATAAAACCCCGGCTTTTACTTGAGCAAACATCCAGATATTTCCTCTTGATTTATTCCAGATCACGTGCTTTAAAAAGAATCTGAGCAGAAAGCCGTGAAATCAAGAATTTGGACGCTGTTTCTGTCATTCATTATCTTGAGTTACTTTCAAGACAAAAAAACCTTATTGTTTTCTGTTTTGAACGGGATTCAAATTAAAATGAAATGTTCAAAATTCTGTGAACTATAAAAATAGCCAAGGTACTTTCCGTTAATTTTATCCTCGTTCTGTATTTTTCAGTTTTTTCACACAGCTTATTATGAAAAAAATTAGAAGTGCATGCATTTTATGTAAAACATGTGCGGTTTTCTCGAATTTTATTTGAGAAATTGAAATAAAGAGCAATCGAATAATTTTTCACTTCATGCATTCAAATAAAACTAAATGGATGAGAAACTATTTACTAAATTTTTGAAAATTATGTCAAGTACTTTTCTTCAATTTTTTGCTCTCTTTTTTTGTCAGATATATTCAGGAATAAAGATGACAAAAACACTTTTAAATGAAAATACGTGTAGCAGAATCTTGAATTTTCTCTCTTTACTCCCTTGGAGGGCAAAGAACTAATTTTGTACTCCCTCAATTTGATTAAACTTAAAATCAAGTAAAATCATTTGCTAAATAAAAAATGCATGATTGCTTACATTTAATTTTATGAAATGTTTGTCTCAATTTCTCAGGTATGTCAGAGAAAAAACAGGTTCACCAGTGGACATGAGAGTAGGGATTCATACTGGAGCAGTTTTGGCAGGGGTTCTGGGCCAGCGCCAATGGCATTATGATGTTTACTCCAAGGATGTTATCCTGGCCAACCAGATGGAAAGCAGTGGGATGCCTGGGTAAACTTTTTAGAAATTATATACCCAACATTTTTATGCGATAAAATTCCAAAATAAGAGTCTGGCAGCTGTCAAAAGACTTTTCTAGAAATCTTCTGGGGAACAGTACTTTGAAATGATGTTCTTCATGATGGATAAGGTTGGAGAACACAATGATGAATGTGTGCTGAAATTCGTGGAACAGTATGAGAATAAAAAAAGTGCATGAACTATGACCTGCTGTTTATTTTGAGCAAAAGCTACAACAATATTTTCTTCAAAGATTTGCTTGATATAATATTTAAGAATGTGATCAATATACTTTTCAAGAAAGAAATCAATTTACTGTGGAAGAAAATACTGATCTTAGCATTTCTAAAGAAGTAAGTTCTATATACTTTTGATCATGTGGGTGTCCTACTTCATTACGTACTCACTTCGTCATCAATGCTTCAACATAAAATGGCACAGCTCGTAACTCAGAGTTACCAACCCTTACTTGGCTCAAGGACTGGCAAATTTCCAATAATTTTTTTTCCAGACCGGCAAATTTGCTAAAAAATTTTCCGCGGAGCAAAAAAATTATAAAATTTTTGCAGATCGATTCAAAAACATTTTGCATGAGAAACTTTATTGCAGGTATTTAAAAAGTAACTCTTTTTTCAAAAATTGAGTCAAGAACTGAAGAAGCAGCTACAGTATGTTGCAATATCCTTAAAAAATGAGAAAGGTGGGCTTGAAGAAAGGTTTCTCAGAATGAAACATTAAAGTACTTTAATTCATCAGGTGAACATTTTTCTGAAGTGATATCTGGAAAAAAGCCAATTTTCATTTTTCACTGTCTTTCCAACCTTTCAGATAAAGATAATAGCCTTTTTTGCTATACTTTTGATAAATTTAGTATGCTGAAAAAAATGTTCTGCGGACCAGAAAAACTTTCCACTGCCCACAAGTTTGGTAACACTGTCTTAAATCAGGGGATACAGTATTTTTATTTTCACAATCGCTGAATGAAATTGTGCATATTTTCGCAAACAGGAGGGTCCATGTATCAAATGTGACCCATGATTGCCTCAATGGCGCCTTTGAGGTGGAAAAGGCGAATGGAGAGAAAAGAGAAGAGGCTCTGAGGCAAGCAGGACTAACAACTTATTTCATAATCAAAGTCATCAAACCAGTAAGCTATATAATTTCCATTAAATGTTTCATTAGTGTCACCCACGAAATTGAATGAATTTCATTTCGCAGCTGAAACAAGGCGGTCAAGAGGAAACCAATGGAGACATTTCGCAGCTTCTAGACCCTGAGGTCTCGGATAATAATGTCTTGTCCAGGGAGAACTCCTTGAATGTAAGTTTTTTTTATTCAATAAAATATTCAATGATGTACGTGTTTAGAATTTCTCTTCTTTTTTCAAGGATCCAATGTCAAGCAATCCTCCCGAAAAAGCTCAAACGAATCGAGAAAGACAATCACACTCGCATCGAAAGCGATTGTTTGCTGATTTAGTTGACCGAGAAGGTCAAAGGTATATGGACTAAAAAATTCGAAAGATGCTTTTCTCATGTAATTATTCCTGATTGTGTTGCTTCATCTGTTTTTTTTTTTTAAGGGACGCTTTAAAGGATTATGTTCCAAGGTTGGTAGGACTGGGGTTCAAGCGAGGCTCGTTTGAAAACCAGTTTGCGCAACAGAGATCTGAACCAGAACCTGCTCTGGTTGTCACTGCCCTGGGCCCAGTTTTGGCTTTTGTAGGGGCCAGTGTTGCGCAAGTCTTTGTCAACACCAGGTTGGGTTCCATTTGATTCAATTCAAATCATTATGAATAATTAAAAAAATATATATATAAATTCATGCATATTGCGGTATATTCGAGGAATTTTGAATGAATATTCTTTCTTATTTACAGACAGTTGCCAAATGCTGCAATATTCGTCTTAGGAGTTGTTTTCTTGGCGGGATTTTGTCTGTTGCCGCTGTCCGAAGTACAAACAGTGGTGAGTATTACATCCAATCAAGTGATGGTCATTTTTTTAACACGTTTTTATTAACTCGCTTTCTTGTCTGTTTGTTTGTCCGGATCAAATTTTGCAACTCAAATTTTGCTCACTTCCTGACTAGNTTTGTGCTTTTTAGTCTTACTTGAAAAACGTGGTTTTTTAGATTAATTTTTGAATCTACTATAATTATTTTCGAATTTTCTCTCCTTTCTCGTTCACGGAAAAAAATCCAAAAAATTAGGTAATTTTGTCTCGAAAAAGGAATTAAGTTCATTGTAGGGTCTCGGGCAAGATTTAGTTGCTCATCTTCAAGTTCAAGCTTTAATTAAATTTTTAATAGATAAATATAATTTCAAGATTAAATAAGGTATTTTATTTAATGAGACGTGATCCCATTGAGATCCTTTTGGAAAGATTGAACTAAAATACTGTGTGTCAAGAGACAAGCAATGAGAATATTTTTCTTTCGAAATGAATATATTGTGCTGAAATGGAATGCTTCAATGTTTTTTAGATCCCTGCTGTAGTGTACAAATTTTGGAGCTTTTTAAAGAAGCGCCCCATTGCCAAGGCGTTTTTGTACTTCGCTGTGCTGCTTTTCATGAGTGCTTTGACTCTTGGGGACATGGTGAGTTACAATATAATATTTATAGACACAGAAAAATGAATAGAGTATATACAGAATCCTTTTTCAAATGACACTTGAAATAACTTTGAAATACTCCTGGTTTGTGAAACATTTCTTGAAAGTCCTGCGAGGCAATATACTTTCTGTACAAAAGGATGAAACTCGTTGAAATATTATATGCATATAATTACGGTCATTGAAGTATTTATTCCATTTAAAAAATCCATTTTTAGTCACGCAGTTCTTTATAAATTATGATACAACTGCTGTGGTGAATATCTGGAAATTTTCTTATAATAAAGCAGCAGCACTTTGGCAGCAGATACTTCCAGGTTTTTTCAACAATCATTCGTAAAATCTCCAAAACTCGTTTCAAATTCCGAGAATATTCAGCAAAAGTCAGCAGATTCCATTCTTCGCCTGTGAACAACATTTTTTTCATTATTTTATAACGGACAGAAAATCAGACCAGTCGTCAAAAAGGATCCCTTTCCAGAAATAAAGACTTCCTGGCTCTCAAAACATGCTTTCAAAATTTTATTCTCGTGTTTTCTAGGTGAAATGACGGGAATTATTTAAATTATTCATTGGTATAGGTGAATTCCAAAACTTATGAGAAGCCCCAGAAAATGTATATATATGGAATTGAACGCTTCCATTCTCTGAGGTATTCTAGTCCTCGTGACATTATTTCCCTAAATGACATCGAGAGAACTGTTTCAATATTTTATATCATCATATAGAGTAGCATTATCCATACAAATTTAAAAAAAAAATTGATCATGGCCTTCTTCTTGTAAATTTAATATTTAAAAAACGATCAGGTGCTGTCGTGTTTCAAAAGGATGCCAGAAGTGGACGATTCGTTGCTGGCAAGAAATTGTTCCCCACCAAGCAGGGAAGAAGTTTATTTTCCTGTGGGAGACAACTGGTCACCAGCAGGACCCACGTCGGAAACCCGTGATGACCAGCAATCGTGTCAACACCCGGGTTTCTTCACGGACTCGGGCGTCCTTGTGTTCATTGGCATCGTGGCAGTCGTTGACCTGGGATACGACTTGATGCAATTCAGCTCATTCAGCGAGGGATTCAGTGCTTACGTCAAGTGAGTGCTGTGCGCCATGCTGTTTGAGTTACGATTTTTAAACCTGGCTGTGAACTCAAAATGTAAATGAAAATAGAGTCTGAATGAAGTTATGAAGGGGTTTTTTTAAAGCTTGGAATTCAGATGAAAATCTTGAATGTATTGCAGTGAATTGATATGACAAGGCCATTGCTGGTGCTGGGACTCAGAAAAAAAATTGTTATAATAGGGAAGGGTTGTGCAATGAGAAACAACCAACATTTTAGCTCCACTGCAGAACCCATCAAAATGTTCTGTGATCAGCACTTGAAAAAATAAGATTTTGAGGTTTTATCATAAATTGAAGCCCTTTCCCTTGGATAAATAGGAGCTGCAAATTTAATTCACAAAGTTATGTACTGTACAAGGCTTTAAATTAAATGCATCAGTTATGAATGAATGAAATACTGTAGTTAATTTCACATTTTACATATTTTATTAGGGAACCATGGAAACTAACAGAAGAATTGCAGAGTTCCTTGGCTGCTATAGAAGCTGGGTTGATGCTGATACTTCTTGCCAGACAGGTATGGAATGTTTGAAATGTTTTCAAAATACTTAATCAAAGAGTATCAAGCAGAATAAACTGTTGATACTTTCTGATTCACAGTCTGAATTCCAATATAAACAATTCATTAAAAACCTCCCTAACTCAAAACACTCCAAACCTCATCCTCAACTCAAAACCTCCCCAACTCAAAACTTCCCTTTATTTCATGTGAAGAATACATGTATTTAAATAATTTTTGAGATAAATAAAATACATCAATCAGCCAAGCTGCAGCCAGGGTGAATAACACCCTAGTTTAACGTTGTTATATTTCTTTTGGAGAAAAAACACAAGTCCAAAAATAACCGCAATGTTCGCCAAAAACACAACACCCAATGTTGCTTGTACCAATCACACTGTTGGAGTGAGTGTTTAGGAATAAATTTTGTGACCAGGAAAACTTCATAGAAGGTCAGTTAAAGATGACCTTTCATACATAAAGGAGGAAATACAGAAATGAATTGACATCAGAGGTCAGGGAGGAATGTCTCCTTGAGGAGAAGGCTGTGTGAGTTTTGATGGCCTCGGGTTCCCACAAGATTAACGGGAGGATGAGTTTGGCACCAGCCAAACTCATCCTCTGATTCTCATAAATTTTGCGACAACTCAAAACTTCCCTATAACTCAAAACTTCCCTATACAACTCAAAACATCTACATAACTCTAAGCCTCCATATCTCAAAGCATCCCTAGCTCAAAATCTCCCCAACTTGAATTATTTTTTGCTGGTCCCTTGAAAGTTGACTTGGAGAGGTTCAACTGTACAGTATTTCCTTCTCCCTATCATTTTCTGTGTTACACAGTGGGAAAAGACAGGCAGGGTATTGTTTGTCTGGGCACTGGGTTTGACTGAGCAGCGTGAGAGGGCTTCAGCCATCAGAAGGCACAACCAGGTCCTAGTGTACAACATCCTTCCACCCCATGTGGCGTCCCACTTTATGCAAAGAGGCCGGATCCGCCACTCCCAGCTTTACTCGCAGTCTTACGCCAGGGTAGGAGTGATGTTTGCTTCCATGCCTAATTTCTCAGGTAAAGAAAAAAAAAGAAAAATCCTTGGCGAAGATGCAATTTGTTTTTTTCTTTCTAAATATTGCATGTGCTTTCGTCCCAGATTTTTATTCAGAAGAGTCGGTGAATAATCAAGGATTGGAGTGTCTGCGCTTCCTCAACGAGGTCATTTCCGACTTCGATGCGGTAAAGGAAACTCTTATTTTTTTTTGACAAGAGAAAATGTGAGATTTTTCTAATGATGATTCAAATGCTCGGTTTGATGGTGCAGCTTTTGGAGCACACTGAGTTCAAAGAGATAAGCAAAATCAAAACTATCGGTTCAACTTACATGGCTGCAAGTGGGTTGGCTCCTGCTGTGCTCTACAGACATCGCAGCAAGGTATTTTTCAATATTATATTTTTCTTTACCAGACAAGAAAGGTATTTATTGAAATTTGTATTCCTGCAAAGAGCACTGCTTCACCCTTGTCAGCAACCACAGAAGATAGACAGAAGCCAAGGGAGAAGAAAAGCAGAAGAGAAGCATTGAGGACCAAATGGGCTCATTTGGCTCTTTTGGTGGAATTTGCATTTAAAATGCGGGAAGCGTTAAAGGCCATTAATGAGCAGTCCTTCAACAATTTCATCCTCAAAATGGGTAAGTCCTTTCCTTCTCAATACAGGTGGTACATTGCAATATGACCACCCTGCATTTTGTCTGTCCCACAATTTGAAGGTCAAATTTGCTGAAAGGTTGACTTGCAATTTGACCTCTGCACCACCATTTGACCCACAGACAGACACAAAACATCAAATATGATGTAGAAAACATTGTATTTGACATTGTCTTGCAATTTGACTGCTTCACAATTTGATCCTATTCTAGCAATAAATTAGGGTTGAATTGCAGGATACTGCATGCACACCTTATTTTCTCTGATGAATGCCTGGTTTCCAATAGAGGCATGTCTCTGATAGAGGCCAGGTGTCAGAAAAGCTTAAAATGTCATTAAAAATGTCATTATTACAATGTCATTGAGTGGATTTGGGTTGGATGGGTAGGGGGTTCAGTTGTGGAAATCTTGATTGAACCTTGTGAACGCTGAAAAGCGGCAAATAAAGTGTTCTGTTCATTCATTCAAAAGCTTGACGCAAATAACAGCTGGTCTCTAATAGTAGCTGGGTCAAAGAAACAGGAGAATTGAAAGATTCATGACATTTATCTTTTAAAAAAAACCCCTTGTATGCATGCATCAAGTGATAGAGGAAGAAACACATGCCTATATTATGGATTTTTAAATCAATCCTCCTTAAATTTCCAAGAAAAAGTTGCAATCAAAAGGTTTTTATATTGTTCAACTGTGTTTATCATGTTTTTCATCTCTTTTTCTTTTTCTCTTGTTGGGCAGTCTTGACTAATATAAATAAGTTATGGTCTCTATCAGAAGCTGGTCTCTAGAAGAAATGCCAGCAGGAGAAAAGTTTGGTATTTCAACCTTTGGATTGCAGATGGGTCTTTTTCATTGCAGGGCAGAGTCAGGATTTTTTCATGGGCAGCACATTTCAGTTTGACCCAAGGTCACTGAAATGTGAGAAAGCCCAAGTTGGGAAAAATCTGGGAGGCACATTTTTAAAATTGTTTTCAAGATTCTATCATGCAACTTCTATGCCAGGAGTGCTGGAAAAAACATCACCCAGTGAGGGACTTTTATTTTTCCTATAAAATTTTCTGCAGGATTAGAAGAAAATATAGGACTTTTTCCAACTTAGACCTTTAAAAAAGTTCAATTTCTTTTCAAGTGCTCAGTGGCACAAAATTTTACAAAATATCCTGACTTTGCCTCACAAGGGTTGAATAAATGCCATGGGGGGTTTAGTAGAGAATATACGGTATTTTGCTTTGATGTAATCATGGATTTTGTATTATTCATAATTTCACTTTTGATCATTTTTTCCTTCCTCAGGAATCAATCATGGGCCAATTACAGCTGGGGTTATTGGAGCTAGAAAGCCTCATTATGACATTTGGGGCAACACCGTGAATGTTGCCAGCAGAATGGAGAGCACTGGAAGAGCAGGCTTCATTCAGGTGGATATTTTGTGCATTTTTTTATTATAATTTTGTGTTTTAAAATGGGAAAACCGCGATTTGTATCATGGTTAATATTTTTGCAGCAGTTTAGTGACATAGGATTAGCTTCACAAGCAAAACACTTGTCTTTTGGTTCTGTGATGGATTATTTTCTTGTTTTCCTTTATTTTAAATCAAAATTTTAAAATATTTTCTTCACAAATTTCACGAATTTAAAACATTTAAAATCAATCTGCTCTTATGAATTTTGAAGACATTTTGGCCAATTTTTTAACAGCATTTTCTCTGTTGCTTTTTGTGTTGACTTAGTAACAACCATTTAAATAATTTAAGTTGTAATACTGTACCCATACTGTATTTATACTTGAATTTAATTTGCATTCTTAAAACTATTTACAGGTGACAGAAGAGACAAAAAGGATCCTAGCGAATTTCGGCTACGTCTTCGAAACCCGAGGCCTCGTTTCTGTCAAGGGCAAAGGTCAACTGATGACCTATTATTTAGTCGGAAAAGGAGATCTTCCTAATGACGATGACGACGACGGTGACGACCTGGCTGACCTAGATGACGACGACGACGATGATGACGATGACCAACGCACGACAGCCCCTCATTCTCCAATGCCAATTTCCGTCGCGTCAGACCGGAAACTTTCTGCCATTCCGACAGAAACTTGAAAATCAGGTCGTCGTTTCAAATCAAATAATAATAAAAAAAATGGAGAGGGAAGCATTTTGAATCCCGTGACTGATGTTCTTTGATGTTGTTTCCTTCCCTGACACATTTATTTTGAATTAAGCCGACATTTGGCATGTGATATTCTGTCCTTCTTTGGAGACCTTCTTTCAAAATGTTACAGTTCTGTTTTAATTTTTTTTTTACTTTCCGATCATGTGACAGGTGAAATCAGACGAGCGGCTTTCATTCGAAATTTCAAATTTTCAATCATTGGTGAAATGGGTGAGGTGTTTCGAAAAAATTGCGTTTTAAGCCACTTCTTGAATGGTTTCTCTATATTCGCTTTTGAGGAATAATATTCTTTTAAAATACGTTTTCAAAATACACTTTTGGTCGTCTTCCTGTTTCACATGATCAGAAAGTTGAATTTTGAAACAAACGCTTGATATTGGCTTTCTTTTGCCGGAAGTCTCAGAAAAATTCATCAAAATGAAGAGAAAAAAACTTGGGAAATATTTCATCAGTGAACCAATCAGCAAACTCGAAATCGACATAAATTAACAAAAGCCCTCGACAATCTTCCGACAAACATTCCGAGAATATCAGGCACATATTTTGAAAATTTTTAAAAAAGTTACCTACGACATTCGTGTGAGATTTTTTCTTGGCAAACCAGATCAAACCCAGCTGAAGGAAATCTCGATCTCCTCTGTGGTCATGTACAAAAAAAAACCAGAAAACGGGGTAATATTCCCGAATTTACCCAGAGAAGAAGAAACAAATCAACAATTCGATGTGTTCCCGGTTTTTCTGTATTTTGTTCACCAAAAAATCCCCTTCGACAGACAATCTGGTGAGAACTGAAACCGGAAACAAAAAGAAAAACATATGTCAATCCGATTTGAAAAAAAAAAAAGAGATGGAGTCGATTGTTTTCCTGGTTGATTTCAATTTTGCTTTTCGTGGTGCTTCAGCGAGTGTATTTAGAAAGAAAAAATTGTTAGGGATCAGGTATTCAAAAAAGTATTAATAAACAGTTACCGAATGCGTACTGGAATCCATGCTTTGTAGCGATGTTTGAATACCACGAATGAATTGTTGTGAATGTTGCAGTAAAATGACGAAATCCGCTGCTTCGTTTTCATTTCTGGCGTTTAGTTCGTAGATGTCGCTCCTGCTCGGAAAAATAATCGGTTGGGTGTATCTAATCATAGCGCTACGGAAAATGCAACAAAAAAAAAACATCTGACTGAGGACTGAGCACATCAGCTTATGAATCAACTGAGAAAATCTTCAATTTATTATTTCTATCTAGAAAAAGGTTTGATTAATGTACATATTAGGCCCAAGCATTTATAATATTTATTCCAGTATTTTTTCAATTTTGCCCAAAAACTTGTTTACTCCTTCTGTAGATTGAAAATTCAAGCCGTGTTTCAGTTTCCTTCTACCTCTTGAGGGTTCAAACATATTTTACTTTTACTTAAAAACTTCAAAGGCTTTTTTCATATTGTACATGAAGATTTTTTTTGTGGAAAAATGAAACTAATATGCACTAAATAATATGCTGCCAAATCCTCGACTCATCGAAACTATACTTCGCATTTCCGATCTGGGAATGTTCTTTGTACAATACTGCATTCGTGGTCAATAAAATCCATAGTGATTTTCATGAATTTCAGCCTTTTTGAAACATATTTATCAATTAAACACTTGAAGTCTTCATGCTATATTCATTTTCGAATTCCGGAAGTGGTTTTACAAAAGCAGTCCTCCTTCGTTTTTATCAACACCAGCAGCTCATCTTCATTTTATTGCAAAAACAATTGGACAACAGAAAAATACATATTTAAGACTCTAAGATAGAACAAGATTTTAGTTCATATAGATCCACTAGGGAAAAAGTTTCACTTCATTCTGACACCATCAAGTCAATGGAAAAAGCCAGCACAGCAGAATTCGTAGGTATTATTTGTGCTAGATTGA